ATAGTATTATTTGGAGGGAAGCTTTTTAAGGAGGGTAGGTAGAGGAGGAGAAAAATTAGAGAATATAAGCTGAGTTCATAGTAGGAATAAGAAGACCATTTAGTTCTTTTAAAAAGAGCTTTTGGCAGATTGATCAAAGTGATTTTTTTCTTCATAAATTGTTAGTGTTATTCCTGAGAAATACCTAGAAACAAACTACTGACTGCTGCAAATTGGTAGTCTTTGGTATTACTTTAGTTCTAATTGGTGAATAAGGGCAATTTTAAATGACATTTAGCATTTTTAGTTCCAAGTTCAATCAGCATAGTCATCAACTGACATTTACTCTGAACCCCTTGGGTGAATGGCATTGAGCCAAATCCCATAAGAAATAATATCTTCTGCCTACGTAAGCAAACTGGTAGTTGAACTATTGCTCTCAGACGCTATAGATAACGGTTGATGTTAATATGTTGTGAGATTCCTGCCTTGGAGTCATGATGTTAAAATAGGAAAAATGTACACCAAGACATTTTTTATAAAGTAGAAACTGTATCTACTTTCTGTCTTGAATAAGGAAGTCACTGTCCTATGCAGTGAAATACTAAACATGTTTTTTATAAAATATTTCACCAAATATTATTTTTGCTTAAAAGAGTTGAATTTTATTTGAATGATCATTGTATGAATAATGTAAGGTAAATTTCCATTTTGACAAGTAAAATAAGGTGAGTTGATTTAGAGCATATCAGGTAAAATATTAAAATAAGTGATTTGTGCCTTCAATGAAAACTCAAATGCAAAGAAATCTTGGTGGATAAGATGTCAAAAATTTGTGACTAAAACCTATTTTTACTTGACCTCTAAGGTTAATATCACATTTAGTATTAAGGTATTTTTCATTCTATAATATTAGAAATGTTTCTGTTACACATGGTCAGATGTTAAGTATTTATTCCTCCCCACCCCCAGACCCCCTCCTTTTCTTATTCCTCCCCATCCCAGTCTCTCTTGCTCTGGTTTGGTTCCTATTGCTTGCTACCCAATCATTACCATTCTATCAATAATACCATTTAAGGTAGCTCTGCTGGGTTTCTTATTTTGAGCCCTACAATCTAGTTATTCTTTTAACCTGGCTCCCTAAATCAAGTTGACAAAAAAAATTTTCCCCCCTTTTTCATTTCAACAACTCGTGATTTAGATTGGTTGGGAAGATATAACGTAATCCGGGTACAGCTTCTTCCCTTTGGAATCACAATTTGCAAAGCTTCTCCTTTCCTGGTTGAACGTGCTTAAGGCAGGCGGAGTACCTTGTGAAGGACTTCAGCCCCCACAGTTCCCTGTGTGCGCATGCCCTCTTTTCTTACAGTTGTCAAAGTGCTTTTGCCAGAGCGGTCACATAATCAACCTGAAAGAAGAAAATAAATACTGTACACTTTTTAATTTTATCGATCCTTAAAAACTGGACACTCAAAGGTAACTGCTACTAAGAATTTGTTACTTGAGATTGGGTGATTGCATGTAAAGGAAGATCTATTGTGTGTGTGATGGGGGGAGGGGAAGGAGGTATCTATTTCTCGGACTTTGCTGTAAATAAGAAAAAAGAAAAAAAATAAAAATAAAAAAAATAAACCACCCTGACCCCAAACAAACTATACAAGCAGTCACTGAAAGACATTGCATATTAACTTTGTAAATGTTACCTTAATTTATTGCCTACCTTTTGTTTAAAGGGTCTTATTTATTAAAGATGGGTCTTGACCTTGACAGAGTGAATTTATGCAGAAAGTAAAATTCATATCTTTCAGGAGTGTTGAGAAGAAACCTGGGTGTTCGTGGTATGATAAAATTTTAAAAATTCAATAAATATATTCATATTAATTATAGCTTTTATAAAATATTCTGAGTCCAGCTTACTTTTTGGCTTTTTTTGCTCTAGTACAGCATTAATTTTTCCACCAAGGGCATGTAGTTTAAACTGAAGGCATTAACAAAAAGCATTGATTCAAGCATCGGAAAAGCTGAGTGATATTGAAATTATAATCAAATGCATATTTCAGCCATGATGATATGGCTATTGTAAAGACAATTCTAGCCCACTGGAAGCATCTCAAATCCCAGATTACAATGGTTTACTACAGCACCGCTTAAACCAAGTATGAAAATGTTTCTTTCTATGGCAATTTTCTTTGGCAGCAATAGAACTTTGTGTTGTGAATCCACGCTTTGCTTGCCTCTTTGTGTCATATTTTTCAATACTGATCAAAGCCATTGTTTTAGACAAGGTAACTGAGGAACATAAAATCAGTCTTAAGTAGGTTTTATTGGTAGTAGCTGGCAGTTTGTGATGTATATCATTCTGGGTTGGGTTTTTTTGGTGGAGGAAATAGGAGAGGATTAGAAAAGAGTAAGGTAGCTAGCTAGCTGTGAAGCGTTTCCTTGAGCCCACTATTTTGCCTATGTACGAAACTTTAAAATGAAAGAGCAACCATTTTAAAGATAGTCTTTTATAAAACAGAACTACTTTTAATCCCATTTCTAGGTCTGACATATTTTGCTTAATAGTTAAAAACGGAAGCATCTCCATTTTCCAACATATATATTTTACAACAGTTATTATCATGAGGATGTCCAAAGGCATAGCTTCTGTGTGTATTTGAATGCCCTTTCACAAGTGTCCTGAGAAAGATGCTTCTCCAAGTATCTGAGTTAATTAAGTAACTGCATTAAATATATTAATAACTTTGTTGCAATTATACTGAATCATCATCTAAAAATAATTATGTGTTTGGTCATATGCTCCTTTAACATTTCAAAATATTTGTTTTCAGGGTTTCAGCACTGTAATATTAATATATCTAAAACAATTAACATGTTCTAAGGGACAAGCTAACTCAGTGATAACTATGTGTATGGAAATCTCCTGGTTTTGAATGATTACTATTTTCATCCTGGAATGAGAAAACAGGCAGTATGGCAGAGGTGAATTTCACAGTCCTGTGTGAAATGGAAAATACCATACACTCCTTATACGGCTAAATAAAACTAATGACAATGCACTATAATTACAATGTATGAGAATATGGAACTTTGTACTATGCTATTTTTAATACTTTTGGTAGCATATGGTAATTCAGGGGTTTCAAACCATAATCTTTCACTGTTAGTACTAGTGATAAGAGAGTGGATTCTAAATTTGCTGGTCTTGTGACCAAAGCAGCAAGAGGATTCAAAAATGAAAATCTGGCAACCCCAACATTATCTTGACTTTCTACTTAAATCTCAGGGAGATTTTTTTTTTTTAAAGCCCCATTCCATCTCACACTCAGTGTCTGTCAGCCTGCCTCCCCCCACCCTTTTTCACCTCAATTCCGACAAGAACATTTCTACACTCTGCAGAGAAATTCTAAGGCTCCTGTTAAGAGCTGAAACCACTGACATGCCAAAAATCTCTTGTGCGGCAGAATTGGACAAGGAAATTGGGGAATAAGCAGAAAAACCCTAATCCTTAGAGTAACCAGAAGCAAGCACTTCCAAACATTTTAGATTTTTACCTCTTTAAAAACGGTGGTTCCCCCCGCCCCCGTCTCCTAACAAAATGGAGTAGCTGCAGCTACTGGAAGGCCAGAGAATGATTGTGCAGCTGAGTCCTCTTGCTAACGAATGCCAAGGATTTCCTCCCTCGAGGTTTGCTGCTGCTAAATGAAACAATTATCAACGCTAGAAGGCAGTTTACTAATCAAGAGGGATAAGACTGCTGTTTCTTTAAAGTGCCCGAATAGGGAAGGGGGGAAGAAAGGGTCGTGAGCGGTGTCTTTTTAACCTTGCTGAAGGACGCAGCAGTATTTATTGACGTATGCAAATAACTAGGGAGGGTGGTGCTTGGGAAAAAACAGGAACCAGAATCAGTTTCTCATTGCAGGGTGAACGCTCTGAGTTCCGGTGAAGGGAAAAGAGACGTGGCGAAATTGCTGTCTTTCTGTCTTAAAGCACATCTCTCACTAATACAGAAAAGGAACCAAGACATCAGAAAGGGTGAAGACGCTCTCACAGTATTTTTAGAGACATTGCGCGAGCCCTCCCACCCCAGCCCGACCTGCTCTTCTAAATGGGAGATTATGGATTTGCATTGCAATTGGCTAGTAGCGGTGGCACTGGATTTTCGCAAGTAAAACACCCACCCGCTTCAGCGAGGGGCATTAATGATCACATTGACAATAACGCGTATCTCTTTTTTCCCGTTTCAGCTGCGCAAACCATGCAGGATGATTTACTGATGGACAAAAGCAAAACCCAGCCCCAGCCCCAGCAGCAGCGGCAGCAGCAGCAGCAGCAGCAGCAGCCCCAGCCCGAGCCCAGCGCAGCCGAAGCCCCGTCCACGCCCCTCTCCTCAGAGACCCCCAAGCCGGAGGACAGCAGCGCAGTGCCGGCCCTTAGCCCCGCAGCGGCCCAGCCGGCCCCCAACGGGCCCGACAAGATGCAGATGGAATCACCGCTCCTGCCGGGCTTGAGTTTCCACCAGCCCCCGCAGCAGCCGCCGCCGCCGCAGCAGGAGCCCGCTGCGCCGGGTGCGTCGCTGTCGCCGTCCTTCGGCAGCACCTGGTCCACGGGCACCACGAACGCGGTGGAGGACAGCTTCTTCCAGGGGATCACCCCAGTCAACGGGACCATGCTCTTCCAGAACTTCCCGCACCACGTCAACCCAGTCTTCGGAGGCACCTTCTCCCCGCAGATCGGCCTGGCGCAGACCCAGCACCACCAGCAGCCACCGCCGCCCGCGCCGCAGCCAGCGCAGCCCGCGCAGCCCCCGCAGGCGCAGCCTCCGCAGCAGCGCCGGTCGCCCGCCAGCCCCAGCCAGGCGCCCTACGCGCAGAGGAGCGCCGCCGCGGCGTACGGCCACCAGCCCATCATGACCAGCAAGCCGTCCTCGTCCTCGGCTGCAGCAGCCGCCGCAGCCGCAGCCGCCGCCTCATCTGCCTCGTCCAGCTGGAACACGCACCAGAGCGTGAACGCCGCCTGGAGCGCGCCGTCCAACCCGTGGGGCGGCCTGCAGGCAGGCCGGGACCCTCGCAGGGCGGTCGGCGTGGGCGTGGGCGTGGGCGTCGGGGTGCCTTCTCCGCTCAACCCCATTTCGCCGCTCAAAAAGCCCTTCTCCAGCAATGTGATCGCGCCGCCCAAGTTCCCCCGTGCGGCCCCGCTGACCTCCAAGTCCTGGATGGAGGATAACGCTTTCCGGACGGATAATGGTAACAATCTGTTGCCATTTCAGGTAATGCTCCAGTGCGTCTGCACATATCTTCCTCCTACCCCGTTTCGTTTGCCCCTTCTTCCCTGCCTTTTAATCGTCCACTGATTTTTTTCTTTAAAAAAGGCAGCGATGCCCCGCTCTCCTGCCCCCTTCCAAACCTCCAGTTCACTGAGCTATTCCACTGCCCGGCACCAGGATGGGGGAACATTGTGACTGCTCCAGGGCTCGTATTTATTCACCCTGACAAGATAAGAAAGGGCCTTTTCCTTTTAGTTTATTTTTTCCTTCACCGTGCTTGAGCCTTTTGTTTTAACCTTCTTTGACAAGTAAAGCTGCAAGTGTGTGGCAAGGTGCCGGCATAGTCCAAGGATGAATAGGCTGAGATTCCTGTCGTTTTAAGTCGCTACACGTTTCAGGTTATGAAATTCCAGGCTCAGGGTGCCGCCTGAAAGCTGTCTGTTCCTAAACCACCCTGGTCCTACTCTTTTAGAGGTTAACAACCCTTGAGTGGTGCTATTTCAGACAGTTGCATACGCTCAATTAAACTAATGTGAACACATGTGTTTATGTCTCGCTAAGGTGCTGGCATCATTAATAGCAATCAGCGTATTGCCCCTGCCGGGAAAATTATGAGTGTAAGATTCCAGTCACCACTAGAACTCTATCAGGGACTGAGATGGAAGAGTGGGAATTGTAGGGGTTAACCCCTCCTATGTTACCTAGAAGAAGGACTTAAAAATTGTTTTTTTCCAGAGGAAAAAGACAATAGGACACGACCTTCAGAGCCATATTGCAATGGAGTCTATTTGCTAGCTAGCACTGAAATATTTAAAGCTGCAGTGTCCTTCAGTTGGGTTATTTAAGAAGACAATGCAGATCAATTACACCATTTGAAACTGGGCAAAGTGAAAGTCTTGCAACTTTAATGAAAAATGAACCTTGTGTCTTGGTGTTAAATGCCAATGAAAAACCCAGGAAGTACCCCAGACAAAAAGGTTGAATGGAGTGTCCTTATTCTGTTCTTGCTTTCTGATCCAGCCCACAGCAACAATGGTTAGCAGTGTCCTGAACATCTTAAGTTCCTAAGGGGTGTGAGGGCGAGTGTTCACTGGGGGCTTTTGTTCTCAGGCATTTATCCTTCACTTATAAATTGATTTAGCCATAGGCTTCTAGGCTCAGTTAAAAAAAGAAAAGGAGAGAGAAAAGGAGAGAGGAGGGCTTTGGATAAGACCCAATTTGCATGGTCAAGGAAATGAAACAGAAGTCCTTGGAGCATTGCTTAAAAATGGCAGAACTGACATTTGACACAGGTAGTTTAAAGCATCAGGTGCAATTGAAGACTTCATTTTATTACTCTTTACATTTCAAATGTGATGTTTGGGTGGCTCCCATCCCTGAAGGAGGAGATAGGGTTATTGAGAGGTACATGATTCTCTGGGCTCGAGCTAAGATTTTTAACCTTGACAGTTCAAGGGGTTCCATGAAACCCATAAATTGTGTGTGTGAGAGTTTTTAATGAGAGGATCTTACCAAGTTTTCACAAGGTCCTTTAGGAATGGAAGACTTTAATATTAAGTTGTACTTCTTCCCATAGTAAAGTTTATTCTAATAAAATGAAGAGACTGCAAGAGGGGGTTAGTTTGGTAGATAGAGAAAAGGAGGAATCTTTTTTCTGGAATTTCCCCATGCACTTATTTTTTTGAGTGGGGGGTAAGGTAGGGAGGCTGCATTTGGTAGGAGAGCTTCTCTTTTTCTAACAGCCATCCACTTTTTCATAGTATTATTTTTCTAATAGGCCCTCTTTTTATTTTGATGCCCCCAATCGAAGTCCAGTCTTAGAGGATAACCTAAAATCCAAGAGGGAAGTTTAGGTGTTGAGAACTGATGATACGCATATACATCAATTATTTATTCTAGGAGTTGAATCTGAATACAACTAGCTTTTGATTAATTATCTCCGAAAATGGGGACTGAGGAGAGATTAAATCTATAAAAATTTCTCAAACCGATATTGACATGTAGCTTGGGGATTGCCAGTTGTTTCTCAGCAAACCATTTACCAGCAATGCTAATGAAAGCCAGACGGAGTGATTGAGTTTCGTCTTTGGTCTTTTCGTCTCTAATGGTGCTATTGAGTAGGCAGAGATGGCCAAAAGATTTGTAGAAGAAATTCTATTAAAAATTAAGCTTTCTATATTTGACCACAGAAAGAATTACGTGGACTTTGTCTCATTTCTTTTCCTTACTTAAAATGGAGCTTCAGGATTTTGAAGCAATATTAGAACCAGAGTAGAAGGAACTTGGTTGTGTTTTGGCTTGGAATATTATCATACTTGGCTTGTGTTTAAAAAACACAAATATATTTACAAAACAAAACACCTTGAGTCTTCTGTGCAGAATTTTACATGATTGCGCATGTAATTATTGAAACCATTTTTTCTACAAAAGGGAAAAATATCTTAAGTGGTCCTAATGACTTTTTAAAGATTTGTTTATTTTGACAAATACGATTTTTTCTTTAAATTGAAGAGTTTATTTAATAGAATACCAACTTTATTTTTTTATTTCACAGATTCTTTGAGCTAAAAGGGGTTTTTAACAGTGATCTACTCTAATTTATCTTAATATTAAAAAAAAAATCTATCTCCCCTACCCAGTGCTGCTTCACTCTCTTGCCAACCAACACAATAAATTTTTTGGAGCTTTACTTCTGTGGTTTATATTGTAAAAACAATAACTATGTTTGAATGTGGTTTTTCAAACTACACATGCTTCCTTACCCACTTCCCTAAATTCTAGCAAAGTTGGTTGGTTTCCCTGGGTTGTGGTGGCTGCTTCCTTAGGGATTACTTGTATCTAAAAGCCACTTCATTTCTATGAATAAGGAAACTGAGGTCCTGGGAGGTAGAGTGACATAACTCAGGTCCCAGAGCTTTGGCTAATTTTGTTGATGTGTGTGTGTGTCCTTAACTTTCCTGTAGCATTAGTGCTGTCAGGTAGACTGTATTTTAAGTAAGGTTCTCTTTGGACTCCATTCAAAGAGACTTAGTTATAGAACTGTCTAATGAGGTTCTTCTCTATCTGGCCAGTGCCTCTGAGTGATGTTCCTCCCACCAACAGAGCTCAAGAACGTTGAGGCACTCCACCAGGGGAATTATACATACACATTATTCTATTATGTATTTATATGAAACAGGAGCCTAGCCATGTAAAAGGACTAGAGATGTTAAACCCAATGCTATTTGGTTTTAAATAGCCTTGTTGTCCAGAGAAGTATAGGAGGGACCTGTGAGAGCACCTATTCCACCACACTGCTCATTTTCCAGAGGAGGAAGTTGAAGTCCCAGTATGTGAAATGACTTGCCCAAGTTCAAGTGGGTAGTTGGTGTCAGAAGCAGGCCTTCGAGCCAGATTGCTTAGGTTCAAATCTCAACACTGCCAGTTACTGGCTTCGTAATCTTGAGCAAATTATGTATACATGTTAACCCTTAATTTCATAATCTGTAAAATGGGAATCATAGTAATTACTTGCTTCATATAAATCCAAATGAAAAACTGCATATGAAGTGCTTTACACAGTGCTTGGCCTTTAGAGAACTACCACATAAATGTTGGATTATAATTATTATTGTAATGGTGACCAGAGGTTCTGCATGACCTTATCATGCTGTTGTGGATTGCAGATTTTTTTCATACAGTGCAATCTGAATAACTTCAAACTTCTTCTGTGTAATATCATTTAGTCTTTTTTTTCTGTCTGAAGGTACCCTCTGGTTATTATAACAATATATTGAGTTGTCGGAAAAAGTCATGATGCATTTTTGCATAGAAAACATAGAAAAAATATGTCATGACTTTTCCGACGACCCAGTAGTAACCCACTATTTATCTCTGGGCCAGGCTCTGTGGTAAGCACTTTATATGTAGTTTCTCACTGGAACTCCTTTAAGGTAGAGGACTATTATTATCCTCATTATACTGACAAAGAAATTGAGGGTTAGTTCATTTACATTAATTGCTCGAGCTGACAACCAATAACTGGCAGAGTTGGGATTTGAACCCAGGCAATCTGCCTCCAGAGCCAGAAGAGGTATATAATACCTTGGCTAAGATACCTCCAGGACGTCAGTTAACAGTGCAGTGTAGAAGCCGGAGACTGGGCTGAACATGCACTTGACTTTATGATATACCCTGGAAATTGTGTTTTAAAAAGAATTTGTATTGATAGAAATGGAGGAAGTAAAATATAGTGCCCGTACATATACCACTACTTGTATTCAACAGTAGTCAGTATTAGCCCCTATTTGTTTACTTAATTTATGTATTTTTGAATATTGTATTTTTGGAAAAGATTCAAATTATGTCCTGCTTTCTGTCTGCATCTTTGTCTTTATACCTCCCCTCTTCCCACACCCCAAATTGAAAGTGACTGTATAGATTTTATATATTTTGGCATAAGTCTAGTTAAAGGTAATTTAGTGTTAATTTTGTTGGTGGGTTATCTGTAACAGAGGAAGAAATTCTTTATATGAATTCATGGGAATATAAATTATTTAAAAAATAAATATGCCTATTTATATAAATTTTGAGGAAACATTAATATTTTTCAACTAGTCCATGCTCCTTTTTAAAAAAATATATATATATTTTTAGGAAGTAATATAAATTGTCTAACTTATGCTTGCTTTTGAATAAGGATAATATGACCTAGATTTAAAACTGGAGACTCTTTTGTCGTTGCTCTAATGCAAAACCACTTAATGTCCATCCAGCCACACAAACTGGTTCAGAATGTATTATGGCATGGTTACTGTCAATGCCAACAAGGCCACATTATCTATATTCTACTTAAAAGAGGGGTTTGTTAGGAAATTTTGAAATGTTTTCTATGATACTGAAAACATTAATCTAATAATATAAACTGTATAAGTCAAAATTGCATGTTGAAAAGTAGTTAGCTTCAAACTCTTTATGACCTTGAGTTGACACAAAAGTGCTCGCTCAGAAATGTCATGATTTTA